AAAATATAACAAAACACTCACATAAGGCTAGTGAAGGCAAAACCCAAAGTTGCGATCTATATTGGAGTAAAGAAATAGACAACAGAAGAGAGAGGGAAACTCACAACACTAGAAGAAGTAAGAATCAAAGTGGAGATTTACACCCAAATGGAAAATGGAACAAAAAATGGAGGAAAAAATGACAAAATACTCACCCAAGGCTAGTGAAGGCAAAAATCAAAGTTGGGATTTACATTCGAGTGAAGAAATAGACAAAACAAGAGAGAAGGAAACTCATAACACTAGAAGAAGCAAGAATCAAAGTGACAATTTACACCCAAGTGGAAGATGGAAAAAAAACATGGAGGAAAAGATGACAAATCACTCACTCAAAACTGGTGAAGGCAGAGGCCAAAGTTGCGATTTACATTGGAGTGAAGAGATCGACAAAATAAGAGAGAAGGGAGTTCACAATACTGGAAGAAGCAAGAATCAAAGTGGCGATTTACACCCAAGTGGAAGATAAGTCAAAACATGGAGGAAAAGATTAACCTCAACAAATTTAATTTCCATACCATATAGATTTAGATGTTTTGAACTAAAGGCAACCAACAGTCAGGCCAGGCAGCCAATAAGACACTAACCCCACCCCCGCGTCCGGGGGGACGTGTGGATGAGCGCATACATAAATAAAATAAGTTGTTTGTTTTGTTGTGGCGGTTGCATTAACTCTTTTGGGTGAGTTGCATTCTTCGCTCAGCTAGATAAAGCAACAACGATAAAACACTCACCCAATGGTAGTGAAGGCAAAAATTGAAGTTGCGATTTACATTGGAGTGAAGAAATTGACAAAACAAGAAAGAAGGAAATTCAGGACACTAGAAGAAGCATGAATCAAAGTGGCGGTTTACACTCAAGTGGAAGATGAAACAAGATATGGAGGAAAAAATGACAAAATACTCACCCAAAGAGGAGGGGGAGGGCGAGGACGAGGAAGAGGAAGAGGAACACACGGAGGAGGAGGGAAAGGAAGGCGAAAGCCTAAAAGGAGGGAGGGTAAGGAGGCAGAAAGAGATGGAGCTGGAGGAGAAGGGGGAGGAGAAAGACAAAGGGGAAGGACGAGAAGAGGAGGGGAAAGTACAGAGGAGGGAAAAGAGGGAGAACAGGAAAAGTTAGGGGGAAAGTTGAAGGGGTGCGGGGGGGATGCTAAAGGTGCGAAATCGCACATGGCTGCGCCATGTGGCGCTAATTTTTTCGTTTCTTTTCTTTTCCGCTGTGTTCATGTATGTGTGTGTGTGCGTGTGTGTGTGTGTATGAGAG